CTCTAAACCTTAATATAATTACCTGGGTACTCTAAACCTTAATATGAATCTTTGTTAAAAGATTTTGATGTGTAATGCTTATAGGACCTTGGGAAGGTTATTGCCATCTTTCTTAAAAAGACTTGTCAAGCTACTGGCCAAACATTGATACTCTAGGCCTTAACAGGGATGTCCTCGATTTATGTTAGGATTGAAAGTGAGGTTCATTTGTCACCTTCTTCGACCTAAACTATGGCATATACATTGTATATAAATAAATATGGCTACAGACAAAAAGACTTTCCAGGAACATGTAACTTAAATTACAAAAATAATGCAACAATTTATCTAATCTCTTCAAAAAATATACATTTTGTATCATTATTGCAAAATTCTATAAAATTAGTAATGCTATCAAAAAAGATTTTGTACGATATTTGTTTATGTGTTGTACCACATATTTTTGTTTCTTTATGCAAACTGTCATTTCAAAAGAGCTTTTACTCTGTGACACATTATCATTATGACATTTTTTTCATGCTTCTGGTCACTCGACCCTCGACCTGGGTTGTAGAGGTCACAACACCATCCACTAAATTAGTCATAGTGGAGTTTTTCTTCGTGGTCACCTCGGAGAAGGTGGCCGCATCGGCATACTTCACACGGCCAGATCTGTCAGAGGTAATGCTACCATCATACACACTGAAGAAAAATTCTTGATCAGTGTAGCAACGCCAGGCAAACAGCTGTGGCACAACCAGAAGCAGAAGATTGGTGTACCAGAAAACCTGCCCAGGACTGTTAAACAAGTCAGTTGGGGAGCCAAATCCTGATGCCACCGTACGCCAGTGGAATGATGCAAAGATATGAACCACTTGGCTCTGAAATAGAAAACATCAATATTTTTAACTTCAATGCATGTATGAATATACAAATATTTTGCTTTAGATGCTACGCCTGTCAGTGCATTTTTTGAACAGACAAAATCAACAGAATATTGTCAAACTGTTCCATTTTGACAATATTGCTGCATAGATGAGCAAAGAATACGTGAATAAAACAACCCATTTAAATTGTAGGTAAGTCTTCAAACACATATGTTTTATCTATAATGGAAGTGAGGGGAAAAAACTGAGTGGGGTGTCTTAATGTATATACCTGGGTATGTATCAGGAAAGAGAGTGGTGTGCTCCCACCGGGGATTGAACCGTCAATCCCATACTTCCTAGTCGGACACTCTACCACTGAGGGAAATTCCCTCTAGCTTGAAGCTAGAAGGCAACAGTAATCCTATGTACAATTAAAAGCTGCCACATATATATCAATCTGCAGTAAGACCTTACCTGAGCTGCTGCTCCAGCATGCAGAATTGCCCAGTCGGACATCCAGGTCTCCCCGGGGTTAACCAGGCTGTATATGGCCGACACATAGTATGGTACAAAGTAAAACAGGTAGGTCACCATCTTGGGAAGGAAGATAAAATGTGATTAAACAAACACTACGGAACACGTCTTTGTCTTTACTGAGTTTATTCCATACAACACTGTAACAGCTTCATCTATTGAATTATGACTGCTTCAGATACATGTATACTATTGGGGTAGGAGAGGCAGGAGAACAGGGAGGTTCTGTTTGTGACCTCTACCATACATAATTTATTTTTTCCTGCCACGTACCATACAATATTTACAACTTTTACTCGCACTCAAACTATACATTACCCATTATAAGTGCCCCCTTTTCCATATTATTCCCATCAGGAATGGTGCTTATCAAACTACATGTACCAGTTTGGTCCCTTTCTAAATATTCAGATACTACATCCCTTTCTCAATCACACATGGACAGAATTCACACTATACTTTTCATCATGTCATTTGTTTGCTTGACATCCCTACTTTGCATGTAATTTTGTAGTTATTTAAAGCAATGAATTCTTAAGCAAATGTTGTTATGGTCCTATATCATGCATTGCTTATGATGACAAACTTAATATAGAACCAGAACAATATCTGCTAAAATATTCATGATCTATGTTTACATATCGATAGAATAGTTACACTTTATTTAGTTATTTCGAACAGTTCTTTGAATAATAAATTAAGTCTTCACAACAAAGATATGAATGACGTCATAATAGAGATTGATGATGTTACAATAGCAAAGGTTGTTACAGTCTCACAACAACGTTTGCCTTCTCAGTGCATTGCAATGGAAGGATGCAGAGCAAATGTTAATATATGTTGATATTCCGTCTTTGCGTATTGCAGAGTTATCTTCTCTTGG